CCAAGTTTTGTTTTTGCAGCTGAAATAAGAAAGGACACCAGTGGTCATTTCCAGAATGCCTTGTTCTTGGGAGATACAGCAGAGAGAGTCAAAATTCTTAAAGGAGTCGGACAAAGTTTGTTCTCTTTTTATTGTGTTTTTGAAGATCATTGGAATTTTTATTCTGTTATCCTCAAGTTAAAATAAATTTCAGTGCTTTTTGAGCTATGAAGATAATACAGTTTAAAAAAACAGGGAGTAAATGTGTACTTATTTTTGTTGTTCTTGTTTTATGTAGAGTCTTTGGCGTATCTGACAGCGGCCACTCATGGAATGGAGGAGGAGGCAGAGCAGCTGAGGGAGAGCTTTGGGGAGGATGAGAAGATCCCAGATCTCTACCCCCAGGCCCAGCTCCTACAACCACCTGTTCCCATAATGCAACAGGAGAGTAACTGGCCACTACTGACCATGACTAAGGGATTCTTTGAGGGAGCCATGGCCGCTGGAGCTGGTGCAGGTAAAGACAATTAAAAACTTGAAATGCTGGAGAAAATTTACATCATTCTCTATAATTAGCTCAGTCTCTTAATATCTTGTCCAAGATGATGTGGAAATTACTGTGCAATCACAAATTTTCATTGGGGGGGGGGGTGGTGTAATTTTTGTTATTTTCCTGGTACATGTACATGTATAAAGAGACATACAAATTCATGTCCACCATAAAATGTAAAAACTTTATTTTATTACTACACAACAATTTTTCATCCATGAAATCAAATCTCCACAAACCAAGAATTTATTCTCAAACCATGGGGTTTTGACTCCTTGAAAATATGTGATTTTACAGTATACAAGAGCTTTACATATTAATATGTTTTGTAGTTTATTAAGAGATATTGAACTTTGTGCCATTGTTACACATTGGGGGATCCGTTAAAGATGGGGAATGAAAACCAATTTCATCTTATACATGTAGTTTGCCATTCAAAGCATGAATTTTCCTGTTGACTGTTTAGTTTTGTAAAAAAAAATCTGATATATATTTAGGCAAGCGTACAGGTTTGGCAGCAGCAGCAGTAGACATTGAGGAAGGGGCAGGAGAAGGCTGGGGAGATGATGCGGATCTTGTCCTGGATGACGGTAAGTCACACACACTGTAATTCTGAAAACACACAGATCTTTTCCTGGACTCAGGGTCATAAAACAGAAGAGCTCAATTTTGATATCAGTCTCTTTTTCCACTTTATATTCCTTTTGTAAAAGTGAGACTGAGATCAAAAGTGAGCTCATCTACGTTTTATGATGTCAGAGCCTGGCTGCGCATATGTTCACACAGACACTCGTTATACTGTGTACACTAACTTGGAGAAACTCTTAATGTTGTCATGGAGACATAGATTGGGAATCCAGTCTTTGTAACAATAAATTATTATATGAACTGTGATTTGTTACAGAGGGAGGATTTGGTGGGGAGGGACTGGATGACGAGGCCCTGGTGGGGGCTACAGAAGAAGGAGGGGGATGGGATGTGGGAGATGATGACCTTGAACTTCCTCCTGACCTTGATGTGGGCCCAGCAGCTGCAGGGGGTGGTGAGGAGGGATTCTTTGTGCCTCCAACTAAAGGAACAAGTCAGACTCAGGTGGGTACACAAAAGTTTTATAGAATTTTTGATAAACTAGCGCATTTGTTAACTTTGAAGCATCAATCATATTAAAAATACAGGCTAGCACTGTAAGTCATGCTGAATAAGTGAGATATATGCAGTGAAAATTGAGACCAAAACTTCTTTTTCAGGTGTGGTGCAATAATTCTCAGTTACCTGTGGACCATGTGCTTGCTGGTTCCTTTGAGACGGCCATGCGTTTGTTACATGATCAGGTGGGTGTGGTCCAGTTTGACACATACAAACAGCTGTTCTTACAGACATTTGCCAGATCTAGGACCTGTTACCAGGGACTCCCCTCCCAACCCCCATTGTTTGGACACCCACACAGAAACTGGTATGTATAAGTTGCTCAGAGAAACATATTTTTATTTCTCTTTCATGTCGAGATATGAAAAGAGAATTTAGAGAAAATGTGTTGTAATTTGCTTTATTTACATGTATCTCGTACAGGAAGGAAGCTGGAGCCCGGGCAGGAATGCCAGCTGTAGGGATGAAACTGAACACTCTAGTCCAGCAGTTACAGGTGGCCTATCAAATGACCACCACAGGAAAATTTGGAGACGCCATTGACAAGTTCCGCAGTATTCTACTCAGTGTGCCATTACTTGTGGTGGACAACAAACAAGAAATCTCAGAGGTCAGTAAAAACAGCTGGGTTATTGTTTTTTCATTGTGCTTGAGCAAAACAGTGGCAGTGAAATAATTAATTAAGACTTTAACTTCTAAATTGAATGATATGATTTGTAAATATAGAGATTGACTGTACTGCAATAGTTGAGAAGGATATGATATAATACATACTGTATAGAGATTGAGTTTGGTATTGTTGACTTGTAGGCCCAGCAGCTAGTGGAGATTTGTAGGGAGTACATTGTGGGGCTGTCCATGGAACAAAACAGAAAAGACCTCCCTAAAGCCACACTGGACGACCAGAAAAGAATTTGTGAGGTTGGTGATGATTTAACACTGTATACAGTTTCATACTGTTTCACTGAACACATGACATGTGTGGTTTATACTGTATTTTTTTTTTCCAGATGGCAGCATATTTCACCCACTGTAACCTTCAGCCCATACACATGATCCTAACACTAAGGACTGCATTAAATCTCTTCTTTAAACTTAAGAACTATAAAACAGCTGCCTCATTTGCCAGGAGACTTCTAGAGTTAGGACCCAAACCAGATGTAGCAACACAGGTTTGTAGACTTGAGTTAAAAGAAACCAAGTTTTGATTGTTTCTGAAGGGTACAGTTTATGAATTGTAAAGAAAAAATTCAAGCAGTGTGTTTTAATTTTCGTCTAGAGCTACAAGCTTATGCTTACTTTAGAGGTGTAAAAAAAATAAGGTTTATTAATTTATTATATCAGCTTGAAAATCTCTTGCATTACTTCTTTGCTGTCAATGATTTGAGCACAATAAAAAAAATTTAATTTAATTTTTGCTTGTTTTTTTAGACAAGAAAGATTCTTTCTGCATGTGAGAAAAATCCTACAGATGCTCATGAATTGAAGTATGACCAACACAATCCATTCGACATCTGTGCTGCTTCATACATTCCCATATACAGGTATGTAATGATTAAAACAGTATACAGAAATCTTAAATGATTTCTTGAAATACATGTATCATACCTTTAATGCACAATAAAATCTTAAGATATGTAATATTAACAGTAACCAAAACAATACATTAATACTATTTCTTTTCCAGAGGAAAACCTGTGGTGAAATGTCCACTAAGTGGGGCTTGCTATTTACCCGAGTTCAAAGGTCAAGTCTGCAGAGTAACACAGGTATCTAAGATTGAAGTCATCCACCATTTTAACTATACCATATAATCATTTTCACAGATTAATGTTAACAGATTTTAAACCAAAAGTATTTTTGCGTAAACAAGATTTACTTTATTCTTCATTTTTTCAGGTGACCGAGATAGGAAAGGACTGTATTGGGTTACGAATCAGTCCCATACAGTTCAGGTGAATTGTGACATCGAGGACATTGTGAATGTGTGTGAAGGATATGTGAATAGTCATTTGATACAATGTGATTCATGACAATTAAAATGTAATATAGTGGAAAGACAGAATATGCATGTTTAGCACATAAGAAAAAAAAAAAACAAGATGCTACTTGTTTCAGAAGAAATACATACATGTATTTAAAACTTTTTGCTTGTTATGGTACAGTTGCAACTGTTGTGATATTTGTGTATATTTAATTAGTATATTAAATTAATTCAAACCTTGACCACATTTCATGCTTGTTTTTAAATTGTATTGAATTTTACATGTGCACAGAGTGTGATGATATACATGCAGATTTATGACTATGACCTGGCTCGTTATTTAACCAGGATAGTGTAGCTTAAGAATTAGTAAATGATGTGGAGCAGTGGTAGCTGGAATTGATTTTGACTAAAGCAGAAGTCATTGGAACCTTCCCCCATGACTAGGTAACCCCACCCTTTCTCACACATTTGACCTCAATCAACCAAAAAGAACTTGCATAACTCCTGTAAGATGCACATGTGCTTCCATTGCACTAGACTAGACCTGCCTCGACAAGACTGTTAATTCAAGAATAAATTCAGCTTTTGAATGAAAATAATTTATTACTCTATGAAGCAACAAAACAGTACTTTGAGTACAGGATAATATAAATAAAACATCTGTTATTGCACATCAACAGCAAAATTAACAAACTTGAACATCTGAAACAGATTTCTGCTGGAAACTTTTCATAGAAATGCATAAAAAGATCTTGGTTAAAGAATCTCACATACAAAAATAACATTGTTCTGACATGAGTGACAGATTTGTGTCTGTAACCATCACTTGGAAATTTTTTTTTCCATAAACTTTTCCCCAGTGAATTAAAATTTTTGAAAGAAAATTGGAATTTTCCTTCCCTTGGAGAGAATCTTCTGAGCAACAGATAAAATTAATCAAGTTTTACAAATAAATGGTAATAATAAGTGTAAAACATGAATTAACAAGAAACTATAATGTCTATAACAATGTAATTAAAATATAAACAAACATCTTTCACAGTAAAATCGAAATGAGAAACATCATCAGATACATGTAATCTTGCAACAAACAGATTCAGTTGTTACCTCCCTTACTATTCGTAGCAATACTTTCATCTTTAATATTCATTTACATAATTACTGTGTAAAATGTATAGTCTTAAAGAACAAAAATATATGTATGCCCATATTATTTAATTTGAAAAGACACAATTTACTAAGAGACTGATTCACACTAAATGTACAAGTATAAACAAAATGAGTTGCAAATAAGTCACAGAATTAATGTTAACATAATGGGAGTTTATTTCAAAATCTTTAAGTATCATACTTGGCATCCTCTGTAAAACAATATGGCCACTGATCTCCATCCTCCTTCCTCCAGGTCTGAGTGAGAGCCTCCACGTCTATAGTGGATGGTGATGACCTTGTAATCTGATTTATGAGTCCAGTGGTCAAGGTCACTGAGGAACTGGATTTCTCCAATCCTTGACTAAAAATAGAATAACACAAATGATACCCAAAATATGTCTAACAATCAGTGATTGATTGGCAGGTGAGATAAAAAAAATTTAGTCAATTTTACCTGAGCTGGAAGGTGAGATTATGACTGTAAGCCGCTCCTAGACATTCCAGCTGGAGTTCTCTCCCCTTTCCAGGAACATTGACCTGTCGTGTCTGTTGCATGCTGGGAGTTTCTATGTGAACGATTAGCTGTCGAGGTAGCTGAGATCTTATCACATATAGGGGACATAACAAGACCTGGAATAGGAGTTATAATCAACATTTATTCAAAGACATACTAAAATCTCAGAAGCAATAAAAATATTCCGAAGAAAGAATCCAGAATTTCAATCAATCCCCTCAATGTACTGTATTAAATTATTGGAAGGTTAAAAAATATCAAAAACTAACAATAAGAGACTTCTGTTAATGCTTTAGATTAGTCCCCTGTACATGTACATGTATTTACAACCTGGTTTCAACCCTCTATTCTATATCTTAATTTAAATAGTATTGAGGGTATAGGCATAAGAAAGTCACATGGAAAGATAAGGTTTTTTTTTCTAAAATTTAATGATGAGAAATATTGTGCTGTAGGAACTGTAGATTTATAAACCATTAATAATAAATACTAGGTGTACTTCAATGAGAGCACAAAATTCAAAGGGTATAATCACTTATTACAAGCTTTTTGAATCATCAGATGCTCTGCAATTAAAACATTGAGTATCTATGCCCGTAACACACAAATATTTTATGTAGATGTACATACATATTAAAGTGATTAATAGCAGCATGAACAGTGCAATATATGCCTGCCAAAAAGTTTACAACATGTATTTTCTAATGATATAACTAAATATATGACTGTATATAAATTTTAATGCAGAGACTTAAATGTGAAAAATTAATCAGAGAAAAAATAGAACAGAGAAACCTAAAAATAAATGCTTAACTTTACTGAAAATCAGAAAACATTTTGTTATTATTCACACTAGAAATATAAAGGTCATATAGAACACTAAATGTAACCAGACTTAATAGTCAATAGACAATCTGAAAGGTTCTTCACTGCATTTCACTCTTTATATGTGAATTTCTAATTTGTATTACTCTTCTTTCTTGTGTTTTCATTTAAAATTGAACAAACTAATTTAATACTTAATGTCATTTACTGAGTCAGATCAATTTCTTAGTCCCATCAAATCAAATCCCAAAGGCCCAATAGATGGATGGTTAAAAACACCACACAATAAAACAACCATGTCAAACACTGGCAGATAGGAATTTTAGAACTCACCAATGACCCATGTATATAATGAATATGTTAATTAAAAAATCCCTCTCATTTACATAATACATGTAATTATAAATATGAAATTCTGTGCACAAATGGAAGAAGAGTATTGGAAAGAAGTTCAACTACTAAGGCTATCTAAATTTAATTCCTTGGTTCTCAGGCCAATTTTAAACAGATGCGGGAGGGCTTGCATTTTATTTTTAATTTATTGGCAATAAAGTAGATGAGGGAGGTATTTTTTTTAATTTTAATTTCCGAATTTTCTTTAACAGAAAGATAATTTTTTTAATCACAGATATACTTTCCATTTCTGGTTAATTCTCTGCCTTATCCATTGCTTAACAGCGTGTAAACATCGTAGGTAATGTCCTCGAATGTATTTTCAAACGAAGTAGCCAAAAATCTCATTGTAAATAGCTACCGGAAGTGATATTTGAATACTAAACTACGAAACAAATGAGGGCGGAATTTTTTTTTTCCCGGATTGGTCTCCGCAATACCTACTTTTTATTTTTTCAAAAATACAATAAAATCGGCAATGCGGCTACCTCAAAACGGATGCGCGCGGGCCTGAGAACCAAGATTTCAATTTTATATAGCCTAAAGTAGAAAATCAGAAATTGTGAGCCACGGTAAGAACCCAGTGTAACTTACCATTCTCCTTGTGGAGGTATAGCACCTCTGAAGCTGACAGGGAGATAATCAAATGTTGAAAGGGGAGATAATACACTTAAAGAGGGGGAGCAAAACTCAAATAATAATTTTTATGAAAGATTAATAAAATAAAAATAAAAGAATAAAATTTTACTTCATGTGGTTTATTTGGTCAGGTAGTCTTTATACAACTAAAATTAGGTTACCAGTAAATTATATTTTTTTAAGTGCATATTGACAAATCAGCATTATCTAGCAGTATTCTGTACAGTGTCGTTTTAAATTTTTTTGACACTATGCAATGCATTGTATAAGTATGACTTACTGTAACTCGTGAGGAGCTCTTCACATGTTGACGAACACCAGATGTGTATCTTACTCTTGTCTGGCATTGTAATCTGTAACAATTAATTAAAGTCAGTCATCTTATTCTCCTCCTTATATTACCGTATAAGCAGACTTCTTAGCAATGATTTAATTTTGGCATTATTAAAGAGGGTGCCGAGATCGCTAAAAGTGAATAACGCTAAAAATTGTGTTTTAGTTGTAATAGATTTTTAAGTGAGCATTTCAAAATTGCTAATATTACTTCTTGCTAAAAATAAAATACCCAATTTTAAGGGCAAATCGGTAAATTTTTGGCTCGCTAAATTTCCACTTATAATATGGTATTATACAGCATATAAAAACTGAAGCAGCAAATAAACTTTGCTCCCTCTTTAATGAAATGGATAATCACATTAAGGATATCCTGTGCAATGTTTCTACAATTTATAGCTTCATTACTAATTTTTTTTTCAAAAAAAAATGCAGAGAGCGAACAACAGAACAAATAATTGAACTCTATGAGTTTGTTTAAATGTCAGTTATCTTGTCACCTACCATGACTGTCCTGCTGTCTGTAAGTTTCTCTGCGGACACATACACCTCACTGGACCAATCATAATCATCCACTGGCCCTCGGTGTGCTCGTACTTTGATGTACTTGATATGCTCGGGTTCTAGAATGTGGGAGGGGCCTGTCTCACTCTGGTGAAGCATGACTGTTGATTGGTTCATCTCAGATTCCGACGTGGAGTAGAAAATCCTGACATTTAACGGCAGGGACATGTGACTGGCTATCATCAGTTGTCCATGAATGGTCACCTGAAAAGTAGACATTTTTTTCTCCATTTCAAAACTTCTGTTTAAGTCTCAAAATACAAAATTTTATGTTGATTATTTAAGCCTAGTACAACTTCCATCTGCCAATTCAAATGTTCTCAAGAAGTTCCAATTTACCTGTTTCTGGACATTAGATATCTGTTTGACAGTAATGATCAGGGACTGTTGTTGATTAAACGTCTTCATGACTCGAACTACACTGCCAACAACGTTAATGTCAAACGGCTCAGACCACTTCCACACCTTACCATCAACACACAGATGGAGCTCCTGTAAAGGAAAATTAAATAATATAATCCCCATGCCATTAAGAATGAAACATATAATGAGGAAAATGTTCTTGTGATTAAAAATAGGCATGATGAAACTGACCTGTTTTGCTTTTTGACTTCTCCAGCTGTAGCAGTGCATGTTTCTGGATTCCAGGGCAATGTTTTCATCAGTTCCAACCTAAAATTACACAGAGACTGTAAATTGTGATCCTAATTGCATAATGTGTTTAATATATGGAAAAACAGAAATATGTTGTCAATGTGACCTACCTGACCAAACCTGATTGGTTGAGATGTATCATTACATATGATGTAGTGATTGAGTATCACTCTCTCTGTTTCTTTTGTTACACCAGACACCTAATAATATGACAGTCACATATAAAAGATCTAAATTGAATAACTTATACACAAACTTCAGTAATAAACTTCAGTAAGTTTTCTGAGCCCATTACCTGATTCCAGGCCTGGAGTGAGCAGTTCAGAGTGTGTACAGCTCCTTTACCAAACCTGATAAACACTGGATCTACTGTCAGGTTACAATCCAACTGCTGTGTCTGTAGGGAGAAATGTACATTATAAAAAACATTCTCCTTTCAAACTGACCAAAACTTAATTTCTTTTTCATTTTTTCCCATACATTTCATTTAAAACTGACCTGTTTGTCTTCAGGAAGTAGACATATGTCTCCGTAGAAAATAAAGGGTCTGATGACGTCATGGTTTGTAGATTGCCGTAGTCTGTCACCTCTACACTAGCAGACCCAGACAACTACAATAGAGATATTTTTACAATTAAACATATCTGGTTAATCAAATTGTTTCTTCTGAACCCTATAACATGTGACTACAGATTTCTGAACCCTATGGTTCCATTGCTTTTACCACACTACCTTGATGACTATACCTATACTAAGGTTAATAACGTACTCTACGGTTCCTTTAGTTTACTAACTACCTGTGGACTTTGATGACTATACTATACCCATACTATGGTTAACACTGTACTCTATGGTGCCATTGCTTTTACTATACTACCTGTGAGCCTTGATGGCTATATTACCTGTACTGCAGTCCTCCTGAAGTCCCCCAGTAGATGTCTGACTTGTAGTGAGGAATTCCTGAAGGTCAGGGCACTGAACATCTGGTCCTCTGGAAGACTGCCATCAAACACAAAGGGATGTAGTTTACTGGGTACCCCTGAAAACATAGACAAACCCAGAAATAAGCATATACAGTAAACTACGCTGATAAATAAAACTGATTTCCTACATAAATCTACTAACATCTTAATATCTGGAATATAACAGGAATTTCAGAAAACAGGAGATGTCAAGAGTTCAAGATACTAAGGTTAAAATTATCCATGTATCTATGATAGATTAATTAGGACTGTCAACTCACTTCCCAACATCCTTGATATTTGACATATTGGTGTTCAGTATAGTGAAGTTGACTGTACTTCTACTAATCACGTCTGTACAACATAAACCCACCTGAGCCCAGACACCTGAAGTGGTTATACAGGTGAACGGCCACCAGACTGACATTGATGTAACACTGTAGTACTGGGATAAGACAGGGGAGGTAACTGGAATCAATCTTCACTGAGGCGGCCAGGGAGGAGGGAAGCAGGATAGAACTTCTCTCTGGCAGGTCCTCTTCTGTCAGTCTGTAAACATACAGGGATAATGAATGTTCAATTCTGTACTTTACATGACAATTTCATATAATAGGCTCTGTTGACTGTCATTGATCATGTTGATGTTATAGGAAAAGGTACAAGTATTTTTGTCTTTTTGGACGAAATAATAGCATGATAATTATACATTCATGCATATAATCTTGTTTGGAAAATCAGTATTTTAAGGAAAACTTACTCATGTCCGTGACAGAAGATCTGGTTATATTTGATCAGCACCCTCCACATCTTGGCGACCACTAGATCCCCCACCAGATGTACTTTGACCTCTGGTAGTTCCAGCACAGTCTCTACATTTTCTGACAGATCAAACTGTATATAGGTCACAAACTGTTTAGTGACCACATCGTAGTACTGTAAAGCACATGGTACCTATAAACAAGAAAAAGAATCCAATGTTTAAAAATGCCTCTATAAAGAATTTCATTTCTTTTTTAATATAGCCATAACAGTCATTTATATATTTAAAGTGTTCAAGTCTCTCTTTCTGTAACAGCAAATGGAAGATGTCCTTTCATAAGAAGTCCTACCAGTATCTGTTTTTCCTCTGCTTTACTGGGGAAGTTCTGAGGTAAGTTAAATGGAATGGGAGTGAATGACATATGGGAGATAACTCTTGGCTGACAATAACTCCAGGTCATGCTGGCTTCGTCGTTATGGTCCTCATTACAGAAGACAATCTGTCCTGCTGCCGGGAACATCACTCTGCTGTCTGTAAATACAGCAAATCACATAAGGGATCAGATAGGTTGATAAGTGTCAGGTACAGTGTAGGTTACATGAGGGGGTCAGAAAAGTCAATGAAGGACCAGCTGGGGGAAGATCAATTTACTGTCTGTAAACACAACACATATAACAAGGGCCAACAAAATTTCATTTTTGCATGTTCATCATTCTCTATAATACTTTCACAAGCCTAAAAAAAATTATATTTACTATATATACATGTATTTATCATAGAAATTCCATGTATTACCTGGATTCATGACATACAGGAACTTTCCCGTTCTCAGATCATCCTTGGAGGACTCTTCTGCCACCAATACAGATTCAACAGGTGCCCCCTCTGTCTCCACCCTAAGGTCTGGGGGGTCTCTATGCCTCTTACTGACTTTCTGGAATTGACCAGTGAACTTCTACCAAACAAAAAATAGCTACGATAAACACTTGACAAAAGACAATTATGAAAGTTTTGTTTACTATCTCATTGGAGGAGTTTATATAAGGCAGAAACTTTTAAAGGAAAAATCATATACACCTGTATGTACAGATATTGACAAACTGGAACTAAAAATTCTGGTAAACCTAGTATTAATACAATTTACACAATTTAATTAACTTTACCTTCAAACTATCCCCGAATACTTTGAAACATTTGACATGCTCCTGACCAACTGAGATCTGTACATGCTCTACAGTGACAGAAGTGACCACTCTGGGTACAGGCAATGGGGTCAGACAATCATCCTCATAGAATCTGACCACAGCATCAGCGGCCAAACTCTGGGGCCCCAGAAAGGGGCAGGTTTTGTTTCTGTAACTGGTGCTGACAGTTAAATCCCAGAAATAAAAGTCTGCTGTCAGTCCTTCTGTCTTATCTAAAACAAATAATTCTACAATAAGCTTCTGCTCTGCACATGTATAATTTTGACAGAAAAAATTATAAAGAGAAAATACACCTAAGAAGATTTCAATTACAGTTTTAGTTTTAACCCCAAACATAAAGTCCTTGACCCCTGACCTGGATTTAGCTGATTAGGAATCAGGTTGACCTCCAGCTGGATTTCCTCTACACTACTGAACAACTGAGCATGCTCATCAGCACATTCTGTCTCCATGGCTATGACCATCTGATTACAAACCACATCCACATTTCCAATTTTAGAAATAACAGCTGTGAAATAAAGATGAATTGTACTAAAAAAATTTACTCTAGGTCTGTTTATGAGAATAACGGAAATTATATTGTCCCAAAATGTAATCAATGATATCAATTTGTTTAAATGAAAGCTTATTCATTTATGAAGGGACAAAAACAGCATGTGAAATAAATTTTACAAACAAATTTGAATATAGATATATTTGAACAAACTAAGGAGTCTTACTCTGAAGTCCCTCTGAACTTGCACTAGTTGTCTCCCTTGATGGTGACCCAGATTTTCCTGGTGGTCCTGGGACTGCCCCCTCCAAGTTAGGTGGTCCCTTAGCACTCTGATCACCAGGAGATACCAAAATGTCACCGAGGAAATCCTGAATGTGTTGCACTTTATCCAGACTTAAGTTGACTTTCACTGGTCTCTCCACTTTGACCCCAATTTTAGCTGTTACAAACAAGATAACAAAGAAAATTTAAATATATCTGATATCTTCTTATTTCTATAGCTATTACGGTAATAATATAGTCCTGCTATTCATGAGAAGAATAAATGTGCTACATACTGTACAAACAACAGGGGTAAATAAAAAACACAAAAGACTTACCCCGATCCTTCATCAAGTCTGCAACAGACAGTGTACACAGACTTGGAGGGATTCCTGTCTTAGGATTGGGTTCTCCTGGTCTGGTCTCTATCCAGCTCACTCCATATGTTGACCAGTTAGGCAACTGCTTGGATAAATCTAGCAAAACAAATTTGAACATTGAGAGGATTCTAACAATTAATATGGATTATAAAATGTGATTTTATTTGCTGATATTTTAAATTAATTTCTTTTTTGACTGACAAAAGCAATAAAGTACCTGTAGGAGTGATATTTTTATGGGGCCCTTTTAAGGAAATATCATAGCATGAAATTTCAAACTTCTGGTTGTCATGGTGACAGGAAAGCACTGTATGAGGTTGCCATAGATACAGATGTAGGAATGGTATCACAGGATCCAGACATGAATCTCCTGTACTTTCTTTCCTTCCTTTTCTGTCAGAATTATTCGCTGTTCCCATGTCTGCCACATCAGCTTTATCAATGATCACCACGTCGTCTGATAGATCCACCCCTTTCTCTATCCCCTGGTTTCTGAACAGTGTACAGGACACAACATTAGCAGTCAGTAATAAGTCAAAAGGTGTGATTGACTGAGATCCTTGACCCTGATTTATTATAGAAGGTCTCTCTGTTCTTGTTTTCCCTGGGGATTTGACTGACGATATATCACTACCCAGTCCGCTGTCAGCTGACACCTCTGACTTTGCCGGGGCACCTGTCTGACTTTTTCTGGAATGTTTTTCTCTTCTGCTATGTTTCCCTGAGAGGCTTGACACAAAAGATAGAGCCAGGTCCTCAAAGAGTTTGATCTGACTTGTCCCAGCATAGATGTTAAGCTTGTTTGTTACATTGACTTCCAAGGAATGTCCACATACCAAAATCTGAAGGGGAAAAAACCATTAACTCTAATTAACATTTCAGAGAAATCAGATTATATTACCAGTTTTAGGATGTAATTGGGTCTATAGGCTCTACTGATGTCCATCAATACCTTCTGTACGGGTTGGATATCCTTCCTCTGAGAGATGTAAACAATAGCTGGAGCTGCTACAATCTTCATGTCCAATCTATACAGCATAGGCACCAACTTAATAGGTTCACGTTCATCACTGGAAAACAAACATCAAGTAAATTATAAACAAGCAAAGTATATGGGCCTTATAGGTCACCTGAGTATTATGCAAAAACTTTCCAGTGATTGAATTTGATTCATGTTTTAAGCCAGATGCTAATGGCATTACACAATTTTGAAAGAGGCACCATTCCATCATCATATCAATATACAAGTTTAGCAGTCTCTCTAGTGTGTTTGCTTAATACCCATATTCAGGGTAAAAAAAACAGCATTTCATTCTCAAATCTGAATATTAGTATTAGCAATAATCAATTCTCTCTCTCTCTACCACACATGAACCCCTGTACCCAATTAGGCCTTGATATTTGATTATCATACCAAGGAGAGCAGATTTCAAACCATTCATTCATTTTCAGTATATAAGTACAGCCCCCCCCCCTTCTATGGTACCCTGACCCTGGGGCCTTGAAATTTCAGAATTCTGGCTAGGTCATGACCCTTGTCCAGCATAACTATATAGGTAGTTCATCTGCTTAATACCCTGGAGCAGAGAAGAAAATTTTCAAAGATTTGAACTGGTTTTCACTATATAATCAATAGCTGTCCCGGACAGTAACACCAGAACCCCTGACCCTGGGGCCATAAAATTCACAATTTTGGTAAAGGCACTCTTGCTCATGATAACTATGCACTTAGTTAGTTTATTCAACATTCCAGAAGCACGAAAAGATTTTCAAAGAATTCATGTATTTTCACTATATAATGTAATGTGCCCCGCTAACACCAAACCCCTGAGATAAAATCTGGGGCCAAATCAAATTCACAATTTGGTAAGGTCACTCTTGTTCATCATAACTATGCACTTAGTTAGTTTATTCTAATACCCAGGAGCTTTGAGAAGAAGATTTTCAGAGAATTCATGTATTTTCACTATATAACATTAGCAGAATTACAGGTGACCTTGCCCTAATACTATTTCCTGACATCCAGAAAATATCACAATTTTGGTAGAGGCACTCTTGTTCATCATAACTATGTACATTAGTTGGTTTATTTAATACCCAGGAGCAAGAAAAGATTTTCAAAGAATTCATGTATTTTCACTATATAATCCTGAGTTCCATAGAGGGTCCCGCCCTAACTCCACTCTGTCTTTACTGTAGCCATCATACTCCAGACCCTGGGGCCATAAAATTCACAATTTCAGTAGAGGCACTCTTTCTCATCATAACTATGCACTTAGTTAAAATTTATTTAATACCCAGAGAGCAGAGAAGAAGATTTTTAAAGAATTCATGTATTTTCACTATATAATCAATTTAAGCCCAGCCCTAACACCAGAACCCCTGACCCTGGGCTACATAAATTTATTGCTTTTGGTAGTGGTACTCTCTGCTCATCATAACTATGTGCTCTAGTTGGTTTATTTAATACCCAGGAGCAGAGAATAGCCAGTCGAAGATTTTCAAAGAAATAATGCATTTTCACTACCTATTATTTATAAGCCAGTCCGCCCTAGCGGTTGTACCCCTGACCCCAGGGCCATGAATTTCACAATTTTTTCTAGAGGCCCATAAGTCAGACTGATTACAATCATGCAAACAGTTTGACTGCTTGATGTCCAGGAGTTCATGAATATATGATTTTTTAAAGATTGCATTAATTTTAGTGGTTTTGGCACAAAAAACACATTGGCCTTGAAAATGGGGGCAGGGATCATGAAATTCACAATTTTTGTTCCCCTTCAGCCATAGATGCTTTAGGCACACATTTGGTTGAAAACCGTACCTGGTTTAGAACAAGACAGGGTCACAGCCTTCATGGTGTGTAGAGAAGAAGCTGAAAATGTTCAAATGTTAACGCACAAGGCACCGCTACAGTACAACTGACCGAGGCCGGCTTGACCAGGGAGTAGATGTCAGACCCATGGAGGGAATACACACTAAAGTCGTCCAAACTCATCTGCCATGGCAACTCAGGAAATGACCTTAAAGTTATTATCCCTTTCTTAACAAGACAAGTAAAGAGTTGATAGGAACTTCATTACATCTAGTAAATTTCAAAATTATTTCCTGTTTGTGAGACCTTTATGGTTCTAGACTAGTGATAGGGATGTCCATTCCCCTGGACAGAGACCGCCCCCCGGAGCTGTATAATTTGAGGGTGGGGAGACAGAACACCAGGGTCTCGGCGGCGGGGTTTTCTGAGGTGGACTTCCTGATGTTGAGGGGTATGAAGGAGCTGGGATCAGATACCATGACACTGGCCGAGCTCAGCAGGAATTCACATCCACCTGATTTATAGATAAATATGTTTCAAGTTAATTAATGTTAACCCTAAGTGTCAGTTAACATACCCATAATAAAAGATTAATGTGCTCTCAGCTACTATTCTTAATGTGCCAGAAGTTGATAATATCACATACATACACATGTACATGTAAAGTCAATTTTTTGTTATAAAGTCTGTAGATAAAAAATAAAATTTACTTATTTCTCTGGATTAGATACAAGTAAATTTCTTACCTGAAGGTAGAGTGACTTAACATAAGGAAATATCCCAGACAGCCATTTCCCAAGAACGTCCTCTGTTTTCCTTGATTCTTCACTCTCTGACTTCTGATTGGTCAGTGCTCTCTGTGATGCACTATGGGTAATTGTTTTTGTTTCTACTTGACTAGTGTTTTTAGTGACAGATTCTGTTTTGTGAGTTGTTGAATCAGCACTTGAAGCTGTCAAAAAATAAATGTAACTTTTAGAACAGAAAAAAATTAAAATGTTTTAAACCTTTGCTTTTAAATGAAAAGCAGAAACACATGAATTGTATTTATAATCTGACCTTCACCTTTTGACCTTTGTCTCTGCAGTGGAATGGTGGCCTCAGCCAAGGCCATGTCAAGGCTGACTTGACTCTCTTTCTTGGCGGCTTTCTTCATTAATGTGGGTGTGTAATTAAACCATTCATTTAATGACTGGTCCATGTTACATACAAATCCTTCCATATTCAGCAAGGCCACAGTTGGTACTAAACAAAAGGAAAGAACAGTGTGTTTCAACTTCCTTAAAACCATTGTACATGTATCATCAAGAAAAAGTGTGACAATATTTTATCCTCTGCTGATTGACTGTATACAGCATTATTTTTGCCCTTTCACATTTGCAAACAATTTTGCCCCATTTTAAATTCATGCAGTCACAATTTTGCTTAAACTCACAATACAGCACATCTCTTCAAAAACAGACTTGTTAAAATTTTCCTATTGGATTTGGAATTTTTTTCATACTTATAAATGTATACACTTTCAGAAAATTACAAGTTTCATTAGTACATAATGTATAAATATTGCATGTAGTTGAGTGCAACATTGAAAATTTTCGCCCCAAGAAAACCATTGTCAACCGAGGCTGCGCCTCGGTTGACAATGGTTTTTGAGGGGTGAAAATTTTCAATGTTACACTCAACTACATGCAATATTTATTATATTATACTGAATGATTTATAGAAATACATATTACAGTGAACCGTGCGCGCATAAATTCCGTGCAGTCGCTATTTTTTGTAATACCACCCGTCGTCAAGCAATGTTGACTGCTGCTATGCAGGAGGGCGTGGCTTCATTATTCAGCGAGTAGTAGTGTTTTTTATCAAATGTTTCTCGACGAATCAGATTCAAGTAATTTACATGAAAGTATAATATTTCTAATTATTTCATTAAAATTAATAATTATTTATGGTACATAAATATATACATCACAACGTGTTTGATTTTCCACATTCCATGCTACACACGCATGCGTATAGTTTTCATATACAAAACAGCATGGTAAGAGAGGGAAGCCTGGTAAGCCTGCTACATTGACAAAGTAGACCAAAACGAAAAACGAAACCAAAAATAGGGCTTGAAATTGAAAAGCAACTTTCCTGACAAAAATTTAGTTGGGAGATTAATATAATCATTGGATGAAGAGGAAACTGGATCTCGGCGAAATTCACGTGGGGCTCGCGAAGGTTTAGCCACTAATATATGAAGCCTCCTATTTTCAGTACGCATACAGAATGTAATCTTTGAATATACATTGATACAAATTCACCTTAAAAATATGAGTATCACTAAAGGGGCAAAAATAAAACATGGGCAAAAATTTCCCCAAATACTGTAGACGTACTTTTTTCCACGGGGTCATAATTCGGCAGAATCTCAATTTCTGTTTAATCCACTGGTAGAAAATTATACGGATTTTGTAGTTTGTCACTGTATGCCTTACATTTATATTAAGTACACTTGGACAATTTTCCGCGGAAGATTTGTGACAGTGTACATAGCGTAAATTAATACCACGCGGAAAAAAGTACTTCTACAGTACATTATTAATATGTTGTGAAACGAAAGGACAAATATGATGATTCTTACACTCAGCTGTTGCCTGATCTTTAGGAATCTGATAAACAATTGTGATGAAATCTTTGGATTCCTCTGTATATGTAGTCTGGTGCATGAAGAATTCTTCTGTAGAGATTTTACTGGTGTCGGCCGGAGCAGTGAACACTGGGATAGGTGGCGAGTTTCTCCCCACTAAAACAAGAGTTGTCCTGTCATTAATTGAAAATATTTATACTGTGAATATCTGATCACAAAGCAATTCTAATTCATAAGGAGACAAGCAACTTACAGTAGAGAGTTGCCATAACTGAGGACAGGGTACCAGTACAGGCCTGAGTGTCCACCAGTTTACACTTCTTCATTTCTATTCCTGACACAATCAACTCTAGCACAGGGATATTCACAGCATCTACAACGGAAGTGAAATCTAAGCTAAAAACAATCTCTTTTCACCTTCAACAGACAGCCAAACATTATTATCATGATTTTAATGGGACTAAGAAAAATCTTTGAGATATTCCTTGATACAATATATCAGAATATAGATATGTACTATAGAATCCAAGTCTTTCTACCTTCTACAAAGTTATCCTTCATTAGACTTGTGTCTGTAAGAAGAGCTGACTTTGGAGTCTTCTGTTGCCATGACGATACAATCTGGGTCAGTAGCAGTAGACTGGCCTTGGTGAAGTTGGCCGTGGCCTGAGGAAGTTCATAAATCTGCTCAGTCTTAGGCTGTCTCCTACTGTTCCTGAAAATTTAATTAAAATTAATTGCATTTTAGCTTTGTTGTGCAAAAAAAGCTGTTGAAGAGGTTTTATAAACTGATCAAGAAACAACTGTTTTACCAATACATGGAGAGCAGGAGACGCTTGTTGTAGATGGCGCCACTGAACTCAGGCACAAGAGACAGGACATGTGACTTTGTTAAATCTTCTGACAGAGTCTGCAGACCAATGGCAGCTCCAAACAACTACAATGATAAAACATAATGTACTTCACATAATTGACTTTCTACTAGCTAATTATATGACATACATGTACAAATGTACCTTATATGACACATTATCTTTACAATGTTGAAGTACAAATACTTACCTTAAATTGTGTGTGTGAGTGGCAATTATGGAGAAGGTTAGCAGAAGGAGCAGCCATTTTACTGACAAATTTGATAAGTTTTCTGGGATACATTGGATTAGTGACTTGAAATTCAAATTTTACTGCTGTCATAGCAACCACAGGTAATATCACAGCTGATGGCTTTGGTAAATTTGATTCTTCTTTAGAAACCTGGAAGAAATGCATTTATTAAGAGAAAGTATTGATATTTGTTTCAAGTTAGAAAGAAAATGTAATTCTTATTTGAAATATTTTCAAAGACTTTCTCATTATCTTCATAACAATATTTCTATTTTGCTTACCTTGGAAGGTTTATGAACAGTTTTGTAGGATTTCTTGGAGATATCACAATTTTCATGTTGAGCGTAGTAGACGGAGATGAAGGGTTGTATGATGGTGAGGTGCTGGGTTCGGGTGGGTAGGACGTTCTCCAGGGACGACACCTGGGCCTCCGATGGGGCTGGTCTCTGGTCATCCACTACCTCTGTATAAAAACACAGGGAAAACTAATGTTAATGATATACTTATGGAGAATTTAATTTAAAGAACTTTTATGATGCATATTGTTAACATGTTTATAGTTTTGAAAGCAAGCCGCCTTCCAATGTTCACCACCCCTTTTCAGAGGCCTGTTCAATAGAGCGATTGCTCGCGAACATTTCTGTTGGAGGTATAATGAATTTTGGCGAGTGCTCGTTACATTTGCCCTGTTGAACAGGCCTCTGATGATTTACAGATAAACTGCATTAGTTCCATTCCTCATGAATATTTTACATCATTTTTAAATTATGTAACTATTTCTTCTTTATGGTTATTTATTCAAATACTAGTTTTAGACCTGAGGACTACTTCATTACATGGCCTAGTTGTACATACCATCTTTTATTTTAGCATAAGGCTCGTAGCTGTGGTTCTGAGCTGCTTGTATTTGTACATACCGTCTTTAGTTTTAGCATACGGCTCGTAGCTGTGGTTCTGAGCTGCCTGTATGAACCTCTGGACTCTGTGGACAGCTGAGGAGGAGATGTTAAACTGACAGCTCCCCACAATGTACCTCATTAAGGAGTTCTCCCTGAGGAACACATGCTCCTCTCCCTCAGATATTGAGGACGTGCTCCCTACAAAAAGAAAATAAAATGAAAAGCTCAACAGTAAATTCAGGACTGCTACCTCCAAACAATCTGAAATTCTAGTATATGATAGAGAATATTGGCATTTTTATTGATTTCCTTTTTGCTGGGCTTAAAATGATATAATCAAATACCACAAGCTTTATGAAAAGCCCTAAAAAATTTACATGCAAAATTGTCATATTTCCTGCTTGTTTATAATTTCAGGGCATATACTTGTTTATATATTTCAAACCAGACTAATCCAAAGAAAACTTTAAAGTTCATAAGAATATTTTCTTTCAAGTTAAACTTAGCTTAACTTCACTATTGCCTTTATGATACCCTTTACCATACCCTAAAAGTCTTACCAATCATTTGAGATGATTCCTCATACGGTTGCATCACATAGAGATAATCCACAAAAAACACCCCAAATTTGTCCATAGCAGCCTGTTCGGTGTATGTCTGTAAGTGTTCTGGTCCATCAAAGGTCCAGGTCAATACCTGACCTTGGTTGACAGGACAACCAAGGTCAAACAGTGACCTGCTATAGTAATTGATGACCTTGTCAGCAAGACCATCACCTCCCTTCACAATCACCTTGCTCTGTTTGAAAAAGTACAATGATTCGAAATCAATTTGATCTCTTGATTTCAATAATAAGTAAGTATATTTATGTCAACATAAATCATCAAGAACATGTTTAATAAATAGATGTTAGTACATAAACATTACAAATTTATATAGTTAAAACATGCAGTATTCATCAACATTTGTTCAAATAAAAGACTTGTAAATAAATCTATTTTAAAAAAAGGTCTGATACATTACTCCCTGACTTCTGATAGCATATAATAAACTTCCACAACTTCAATAAAGTAAGCTAAAAACCTAGATCCTTACCCTTTGATCCTCGCCATCATCTGCCCCACAGATACAGTTTCCCCTGGTCTCCAGACTGATGTTGCTGATCCCAAACTGGACATTGAAGAAGGTCAGGCCCTTCATCACAATGTCCACCCCTATACCTTCAGCCTCCATGTACATAAAGGGTCGGAATGCTATCTTCTGTGGACCGTAGTGGACTTTCTCTCTCATCTTCTCTGTCAGCTAAATCAGCATATAAAAGAATTGAGCAAATACTTTACTTAGAAACAAGAGTGTACTTTAATCTTGTAAATTAAAAAATTAACAAATTTAAATGTTTAAATCATATTAAAGAACTATAGTACTTAATATCTATAGCATAATGTTTATTTTGTACTTTTTTAAATTAAATTTCATTTTGAAATTAGAACATCAATTGCTACCTTAAAAGTCAGTGAGGCTTTGTGTGCGTACATCCCTACAGCTAACACAGCTGGGGGTGGTTTCTTCTTTGGGGACCTTTCCTCGGCCTGTAAGTCCTCCTCCCCCGTGGGTAGGATCTGGGGGACGTAGGACCACGCCCACGAGGACCAGCTCTGTTGATTCTCTGGATCCTCCACCCTTAGTTTCTCTTCATCTGAAATGTCTCACATGGTCACATATCTTGATAAGGCCTTCGTTTACCTTTTTTCATATTTGATTTACTTTGGCCCCCATTTTTTTTTAGGTGCATGTAGTAGGAGCCTCACCATAGGAAATAGTATTTTTAAAAGATTATTTCACACATGGATATTCATTATTATAATCAAAGCATTAGAAATTCATTGATGTATTCACAAAATGTATACAAATGAAGTTAGACAGATCAAATAATTATTGCTCTTAAAAGTATCTGAGTCTCTGAGAGATGATAAACCTCATGGTTGGGTAAAGGTAATATTAATGGGTCTGTAAGAGTATATCAAACAAATCATTTTTTAATGTTGCGCTAATATTTTTTCTTAATATAAAAACTGTTATTAATTCCATGAACTTTATAGATTTATAAAGTAATTAAACAAATAAAGAACAAATTTTGATTAAATAATGTTCTTCACCTTCCTCTTTCTTGTCCTCACTTCCTTCTGTGCTCTTCACACTTGACTCCTGCTCATTCACTGAGCTCGGAAACTCGAGCGTGCCATAGTACAATGCTAAGCAAAGTTCAATCAAGCGGAAAAACAATGGCAGTTGTGTGTCAGTCAGCGACACATCCAAAGTCTCACAAAACAAGTCAAACTTAGTGATGCTGGGAAACTTTGCATTGATTGAGTCATACTTGAGGTAGACTCTACCAGTAACGGAGCACCTGTATACCATGGGGTCCTGATAATTCTCTATCTTCCCACTGCTGTCACACTTATCTAGACAAATTGTAAGGTCCGAGAGGTTGATTGACTTCCTAAGGGCAAGCTCTGGGGGACAGAGGTCAATGAAGGCTCGATTCCACAACTCATTCACACTGAAACACTCTAGTGACTTCACATTAATAGACAAGACTATATCATCTTCCACAAATTTCACAATTAAATTGTTTATTACTATACTGACATTGTTGGAGATTTTATTCATAAGACTTTGTAAGTAACCTGGTGGAAGATCTTCCCCTGCTTGTTGTCGTCTTTGTTTTTGTTTTGCCTGGAATGATCGCGATTTCTTTAATTCTGGCGTTTGAGAACTAGCTGTGTCACTGTATGCAGATTCCCTCAGTTTCAAAATGCATTCTATCGTATTAATTGTTATAACAATAGGTTCAGACCCTAGTTTTGTCCAAGGTACATGGATTCTCAGTTCATGAATATGGCCACTTTTGAAGATGATTGGAAGCTGGATGGCCTTCTCGATGACATCCAATCTAAGGTCAAGGTTATTCAGGACTGCATCACCACCCCACAGTGACAGCTGAAAATCTTCATGTCGCAACTTCACATATTTATCTACGTAGCCCATCAATAGTGGGGTGATGTAAGACTCTATCTTAAACATTTTGATTAAAGTTGGTCTACTTTACAGTTCCTGAAATGTAAATGAGAAAACTGCTAAAATGATTGTTTGTAGTTCATAGTCAATCTACAGGCAATACTTCATTTTTCTAAACAGGCCTATAGATCTACATGTACTTTTTGCAAATTTTTGAGAATATTTTTATTATAAATATGAACTTCTGTATGCAAACAAATCCTTAGCCATGTCCAAACCAAGCGCTAAATCACAAAAACAAAACGTGTACATCTACATCGACAGCACTTGCATAACGAGTGTTGTTATTTTTTTAATTTAAAATTTGCATGTCATTATTCTTTTAACAAAATGTCCAATGTAAATGAATTAAACATTGTTAACCTGAATTAAACATAAACATAGACACTGACAGGTCCAGTCCAAAGACTATTTCTACCTACGTAGCTATTAATAGCTACCTAGGTATTTAAAGCTACCAAAAGTAGCTATATTTACCTACTTTATATAATTTCTGTATTTTGCGACCAAAAGACCAAACGGCGCAACATGGTGAATACCATATTTTTTGATACGGTCACACTAATGATGAATACAACAAAATTTTGGCGAAAAAATGATTACTTCCTGAATCGGCAATTTTACATTAGTTTCTATGCAAAATTGATAAAATACGAAGTTTTCATTTTTTGGCCAAATTTTTGTCATATTCATCATCAGTGTGACTGTATCAAGAAATTGTGTGCTCACCATGTTGCGCCGTTCATGCCTTTGGCCACAAAATGCAAGTAAAGCAGAAAGTAGGTAAAAATAGCTACTTTAGGTAGCTTTAAATACCTAGGTAGCTATTAATACCTACGTAGGTAGAAATAGTCTTTGGACTGGACCTGACTGATAGATGAAGTTGGAGATACCCCTTCGTCGTTTGAGAGCAGACGCGTCAAGACACATTCCTAAAGGCAGTTTAATCATACAAAAAAGGTAGAAATTTTTTCAGTTGTCCCGTAATTACATTGACTTTGCACATAGCAGTGCAAATAAAATACATACTTACAAATAATTTGATTATCATATGATCTGCCAACTCATAAGTCGCCATGTTTATTTTTATTCATTCGGAACCCATGGCTTTATTAGTAAATCCGAAGACGGAATAAAGTTCGATAACTCAGTGAAATGAAAGATCATAGCCTGGTTCCCGAGGCCTTCCGATGTGCACGCACAGAAGGCCCCTGGCATACACTTTGCAATGTCAGCGGAGTGTGACTAAAATGGGTAGCGAAACCCGGGCCGGGCCGGGAATTTCAAAACTGAGAGCCGGGTTTTTGATAATTACGAGATAAATACTCATTCTTTCTTCACGAAATTTACAGACATAGTTTATAAGTACAGGTTTTGCCTTCGCTGAGAATTTTAAGTCAAAATGTTTTGTTTTTCGATGATTATCGCCGATTGTCCTTTTCCAGGTGACTAAAATGGGTAGCGAGCCCGGTTTACTCATTTTGGCGATTTTAAGCTTAATGCATCGAAAGTGTTTGTGATATTTGCATTTAATGGTTGTTTATTAACTTCAAATAGTTAAATTGTTCAATAATTATGAAATTAAATGTCAATTATTAGGGTTTTCGTCATTTTTCATAGACCCGGGACAGGTCAAAACCGGACGCGTTTGCCCGGGACAAATTAATAATTCCGGATTGCCAGAGAAAGAATGTAGATTTTTTTCAGACCCTGACCGAGATACATCTAAGAAATAAATTGGAAAAAATTAATAAAAATATGCAAATCAAAAAAGAGTCATTTATATTTCAATTATATATCATTCTCTAATAAGTATTTCGGAAATAAAAGGTTTTTCCCGGGTGAACGTGTCCGGTTTCGACCAATCCCGGGTGTTCAAAAAATGCGTATATTTTCAATAATCGTGATTTATTACTGCAACAGTTAAATGTTTTAGGTAGTTTAAGTTCAATTTCAAAGATCCAAATGAAATAATTGTAAATATGCTGCCGAAATTAAGTTTAAATCGCCAAAATGAGTAATCCGGGCTCGCTACCCATTTTAGTCACTTGGAAAAGGACAATCTGTGATAATCATTAAAAAACACAACATTTTGATCTAAAACTTTCAGCGAAGGCCAATCCTAGAATAATTAACTATGTCCAAAAATTTCATGAAGAAAGAATGAGTATTTATTTCGTGATTATCAAAAACCCGGTTTTCGTTATCGAAAATCCCGGCCCGGCCCGGGTTTCGCTACCCATTTTAGTCACACTCATGTCAGCGTCCTACGTAACATCCAAGATGGCGGCCGATGCGGTAAGTTTGTATAGTAAATGATACATCTTGCCCGATTAATAACATTTTTAACTGCGTCATGTCCGTTTTTTTTCATTTATTTGACATTAACTCGGTTCAATGATATTATTGAAATTGACTTTTGGCCACGAATCACCTGATTTGATCTGCCAACCTACCTATTTACATCGATCAGCTGTTTATATGTAAATGGCATAGGCCCGTATCAAAATACACCCAGATTTAACATTTTTTACTGCGTCATGTCGATTTTTTTCTTTTATTTGACTAGAATTCGGTTCAATGAGATTATTTAAACTGCCTCTTGGCCGTGAATCACCTGATTTGATCTGCCAAGCTATACCTATTTACATCGATCAGCTGTTTACATGTAAATGGCATAGGCCTGTATCAAAATACACCTAGATTAATTAATATTTTTTACTGGATCATGTCGATTTTTTTCATTCATTTGACTAGAATTCGGTTCAATGATATTATTCAGACTGTCTTTTGGCCACGAATCACCTGATTTGATCTGCCAAGCTATACCTATTTACATCGATCAGCTGTTTATATATAAACACGAATGACATACATGTATATCATAATACACCCAGGTTTAACAAATTCTGAACACTCAATCCACAGTTTAGTATAAAGGAATGAATAAAGAATACTTTGATTTGATTTATGGAAAAATCATTCTTGAAGAAATGTTTTTTTCTGCAAGTCACTATATGTATGACAGTTAGAACAGTTACTTTTTGAATTAAATTTTACATGCGCTCTAAATGAAAATGAGGCACCTTGGGAGATGAACGATTTAAAGAAATGGAAATAAAAGTTGAAAATATTAATTTAGCACGAAGACACACATAAGTACTGTGTAAAACTTTTTAACTTTTCAAAAAACTCTAAAAATTTAGTGAGGCATTTGCCTCATTTGCCTCGATGGTAGTTACGGCCTTGATTAGTAATGGATTTTATTTTAAATTAAAAACAATTACAGTGGAGCCTCATTTATCTGGACACTTTGGTTCCCAGTCAAATTGTCCGGATATGTGAAGTGTCCGGATATCTGAATTACCAATTAAACAAGACAAAATAAGATTAAAAAATTCTGACCCGATGAAATATCATCCGAATACTGAAGCATCCGGATATATCTGGCGTCCGGATATCTGAAGTTCCATTGTACTACACATTATCCTTGGATTAAATGTTTTCATTATGATGAAAGTTTCATCAACAATGAGAATTTGATCAACATGTCACCAATATATTGGCGACAAGGGTGATAGGTACAATGTATTGTAAATGACATAGTTTACAATAGATTTCTTTATTTTTCACACACATACGTGTTACCTATAGGGAGAGCTTCTGGACCGTGGGAAGGCCCTGCTTCTATTAACATGATTAGGTAAATGCATCATGATTTTTGAACAAATGTAATTTAATTATTTACAATGAAAATAGAATGAATCCATGAAATTTTATCGAACTGATTTTTCAGTATGCATATCATAGAGGAGTGTCCTAAATCGGTGTGTACCTAAATCGGTAACATCTTTTGAGCTTCTGATTTTTCTAGTATACCTGGAGATCTGACTTTATCAATATATGAAGAATGCTAGTTATAACACAGTAGCTCGTAGTAATCGATTATATAAATATAAAAGTAAAAATGTCTCCTTAGTCAGAAATAACATTTAGATACAACAGTGTAAGTGAGGAAAACCAATCATTTTTTTTTCAATGCATGAAAAATAACTTTGTTTTGGTGTAATGGTAACACACCTTATCCAAGCTGTAATCAGGGATGAGGAGATCCAGGTTCAATTCCTGGGAGCATTGTTGTTGTCATGCATTGACAAATCAAAATGAGAAAATAAAATGGAATTTACAGAAAATTGAAAACTAAGCATAATTCTAGCTATTAAAACAGCAAAGTCGAAGGAAACAATATTAAAGAAACTAATGATGTTACTGCATTATTTAAACCACAATCTTGGAAACTTGACACAATTTAATACCGTATAATCCCTATTAACCGCCCCTGCCTCTATAAGCACCCCCTAGTTTTGTTTTCAATTGTCAGAAAATAAGGGCCCCCTGGACAGTGATTAAAATTATATAGAAAGACTAGAATCATATCAAAAGTCTGCAAAAATTTGAAAGAATTGAAAATAAGTTAACATTATTTTGGAGATTCTTTGAATTTATTTATTTTTTTTTCAAAATATTTTTTGAAGTTAAGATATGATATTAAATATTACAAAGAGAATACCCAAATAACCGCGCCCTTTTCACAATTTTCTAAGCACCTGGGGCCGTTAATAGGGATTATACCGTATGTCCTTTTTCTAGTTGAATCAACAAGTCTGTTATGATTGCAGAGTTCATTTTTTTTTATTTCCTGTGTCATATAATTAAAAATTAGAGAGCATGATTCATGAAATTAAGAAATACATGTTCAAATATATAACATATGTGTACAACTTTGAATATAACAATATGAGAGGGAGCATAATAATTTTAAGTACATTTTAAAGTACATTTCATCAGTTTATAACTATGAAACACTTAGAAATAATTTACTCAGCTATGGAGGCTAAATTCACATTAATATTTTCTGAGATTTTCATTTTGTATGATTAGCAGATGAATTATTTCTAATCAATAAAATTCTAGTAGTACAAAATATTACTTCTTTTAAAAATACTTCAGTTTGAGATCATAATTAGAGAAAATGAAATTCACCTGCAATCAATTTCAGTGAACACTTTTCATAAAATCTTATTTCTGTATAATCTCATTAAAATATTTACAAATTCAGTTTCAATTAACATATAGATTATAAATGGAGAGTCAATTCTAGTTCTTGCAATTTGTGTTGGGGGATTAACATAATGAAAAATAATTGCACATTTAAAGTATCTAAAGTATCAAATGTTGTATTCAAGATTTTGAACATTGTTAATGTATAGTAATCGCACCTCAAGAAATCCTTGTACATATAACATGTTTTTCTAAAGTTCTGCATCTAATTATCTTATAGTTCATCTTGTACATACCTGATTCAACTAAATGTATCATTACTTATTTTTTAAACAAGTTTTACCATCCGACTTCAAATATAACATTTTCACTGTATCAGCTGTTTTAAAATACCTGGTGATCACAGAGCAGACATAAGAAACTCAAATGAAAATTCAATGTGAAAAAAACTATTGTCTTACAACTATATATGATTAATATAAACATATTTAGTTCTCATTTACATGCACTTCTCATTCCTTTAGCATGTTCACATCATCAGTGACATCCGATCAAAGCATACATATGGTACATTCAGTCCCATATTATCGATAAGGGACACAACTATTACACCGAATACCTTAGTGTAATCAGTTCATTTTTACTTATAAGCATGAAAACAAAATATAACAAATTAAAACCACCACAGTATACCTTCTTTCTCTCTTATATAAATAAAATCTAATGTGTCTGACAATGATAGTTTAATTGAATTCAATTCATAAATCACATTTGTACTCTAAGAACACTCTGCAATAAACATTTTAAATTCTGATGCACAATCAAAATTACAAAAGCCAAATGAAAAATTATTATATCCACCATATAAAATAACAACATTAAGTACCGTATATATCCGTATGATCCAAACACCTATGAGCTAATTTATATACATGTAGGGTATCATTAAATATCATCAATTTTTCATCAAATCATCAAACATAATCTTAACTAAGGGAGTTAACTCTTACAGATAACAATTACTCCCTTACACATGAATATAAAATTTCAG